CTGTTATTTTCATAGGATTCTTTTCAGGACAGTCCTTAGTCCAACGGAACACTCTTTGACATATCGCACATTTTGTTCGCTTGCCAAACTTATTTAAATGATTTGTACCTCGCTGTTTTCCTTTTGCCTCTGCACTGTAGCTACCTTTTCTCTGTTGGGTATAAAAAAATAGGCTCCAGTTTTACAGTAATACTTGCTGTGCTTACATTACTGTCTGTTCCAACACATTCCCCAAAGATCCTCTGAAGGGCTGATTTCATGGTTTTAATTTTATTTCAGATCACTAGCAGCTGTTAATGCAAGCTGTTTTCCTGTGGTGAAAACCCTGCATTGTCTAAAAGTTTGAACGCTGGTCTGCCTCTGGAAGTGCCATTTCATACTTCTTGGCCTTATTGTACCGTTCACGGTAGCTCAATCGGTAGAGCGCTCGCTCCATGATCGGGAGGTGTGAGTTCGAATCTCGGCCGCGACTGACCTAAGTCGATAAAAAAAGGGTAGCAACTGTTCCTTCGCCATGCGCTCGGCACTTTGAAGTGAAAGTTGCGGGTCCTTCGGATGAGACCTTAAAAACCGAGGCCCCGTGTCACGGCAGGCATTGGCACGATAAAGATCCCTCACTGCTCAATGGCCGTAGGTGCCGAGTAAAGGTCAAAATTTGAAACCCTTCACTGGTACATGGTGACGTCACTATGTGAGTGAAAAATTCTCGAATGAGACGTAAAACAGCATACAATCAATCAATCTTGGCATTGTTGTAAAGTTTATCAATTTCAATGATGTAGTCTAACATTGATTTATTTTCCGATTTCTTAAAGTAGTCAAAGTTTTTGTACGATTCATAGGCTTTGTCCTTGTCATCACGTAAAAATACCTTGTCTAGATGCTCCATCAACTTTTTCATACCGTCTTTGTTGCTAGATCTTCTGCTGGAAGTTCCATCGCCGTTTCTCTTACATTCCCGGTCAGTGAGAGTGAAACTGCAAGCGCTTGTTTCTCCGGTTTCAGTTCTGTTACTAACTGCCATACTTCTATTTCATTCTTCCGTGTCTCGTATGTCATGTTTTTCTGATCAAATGTAACAGGTTTTGGGTTATTGAAGAATAACAGCCTGTTGAGGGTTCTTTTGACAAGACTTTATTGCCAGATAAATGAGAAAATCAAATGAGGAAATCAAATGAGGAAACCCTGCAATATTAACAATATAACAAGTGTAAATATAAGCATAAAAATAATACAAATTGTCAAGGGAGATAATTCATCACATATAGAATATACATATATTTCTACGCAAGTAAAGAACAATCAATTCCCATCATAAAATTTTACAATAATTATCATCATAATGTATTTAAACATTATATATTATTGAATAATCATAAAATTATTATATGCATACCATTCTATGGGAATAGGTGTGTAACTGCAAGCAATAATGCTGCATAATTATATACAATGCCATACAGTCTCAGAGTGATCTGTAGATTAATTAACACAATATTACACACCAAATCATAAAAATATATTACCTTAAAAATATTTAACAATGAGATCTTTCTATTTACATCATACTTTAAAATATCATTCTCACTGATATCATTTACTCAGGGAAAGTGCTTGGGAAATAGATCAAATATGCAAAATTACAGATTGGACATTTAATTGAACTATAAGAATTATATTAATATTAGTAATAAATTGTTAACTTACCAGAAGGAGAAGAAAAGTCAGTCTCTATGAAAATGTCAGTCAATATGTCAGATCACTTCATATACACCTCTTAACTGACCAACCTCTGGACAAAGAATGTCCAGAAAACCAAGAACACTCTGGAGGGAAAAACATGAACCAATCCCCAAGTAAAATACAAACTAAAACACCAACGAAATTAAAAGAAACATCCAACATTAGGCCTGGATATAATTAATGACCTAAAGCCATTTCTATCTATATACACTTAGTGACAGACCATGGGTAAATGCACACTAAAGGCTTTAAACTGAATAATTATATTATTCAATATGTGCATTTCAAATCAAAATAAATATAATAAATGACACTTACAATACATGTACATAATATATACATGTATGCAAAGAAAAATAATAAAATATGCATCTGCCACACAAACATGGGTGGATTCTTGAAATTATTAGCCATTAATATTTTTTTTTTTTAGTTTTCTGACCGCTCTGCTACCATGTAAACTTACTTTAAATGTTCCTCTCTGGAACAATTAAGTTGCGGGTCCCCGCCATTTTTGACTCGAACTCTCTAATGTCCCCCGGTAGAAAAGTCAGGGGAAGAGTGGGACTAATTGAAGCGATGGAATATAACAATGGCCCCACCCTACCCCCAGGGGTCATGATTTGAACAAACTTAAATCTTCACTACCTGAGGATGACTTCATATCAAAATGACTAACTGTGGCTTTGTTGTTTTGAAAAGAAGATTTTTAAAGAATTTTCCTATACATTCCTATGTAAAACTTTGATCCCCCATTGTGGCCCCACCCTACCTCCGGGGGTCATGATTTGAACAAATCTGAATCTACAACTATGTAATGAAGGTTGCACATAAGTTTCAACTTTTCTGGCGAAATGATTCTTGAGAAGAAGATTTTTAAAAGATGACACCAAAATTTCACCAATTTTAATTATCTTCCCTTGGAAGAGGGCGTGGCCTTTCATTTGAACAAACTTAAACCCCCTTTACCCAAGGATGCTTTGTGGCAAGTTTGGTTGAAATTGGTCCAGTGGTTCTGGAGAAGAAGTCGAAAAGTTTACAGAAGGATGGACGGACAGACAGACAGCTAGACAGACATAGACGGACTACGGATATATATATATATACATATATATATATATATATATATATATATAAGCACAAAGAAATTCACTTTTTTTATAAGGATACCCATTTCCGCCCCAGCCCGGGGTTGAACTCTCGACCTACGGAATCTGTCTCCTAGCAGTACAGTAACAGCGCGCCAGACCGCTCGACTGTCTAGGCAAGTCTAAAAACTTGCTTTCGATGCCGATGGAATTCTCGCGGCGCTGTCCTACACTACACGGTCATTGAGAATGGAAGTGAGATACAGTTATTTGGACATTAGTTTTATTAGAGGATCGTTACCAATACACGTTGTAATGAAATTAATTTTTATTTATAAAGCACATTTTACAACAACTCTTTAACTAACATAACTGCCCTAAGTGAAGAAATATTAATATACAAAGCACAAAGAAATTCACTTTTTTTATAAGAATACCCACTTCCGCCCCAGCTCGGGGTTGAACTCTCGACCTACGGAATCTGTCTCCTAGCAGTACAGGAACAGCGCGCCAGACCGCTCGGCTATCTAGGCAAGTCTAAAGACTTGCTTTCGATGCCGATGGAATTCTCGCGGCGCTGTCCTACAGATTCCGTAGGTTGAGAGTTCAACCCCGGGCTGGGGCGGAAGTGGGTATCCTTATAAAAAAAGTGAATTTCTTTGTGCTTTGTATATTCATATTTCTTCACTTAGGGCAGATTATGTTAGTTAAAGAGTTGTTGTAAAATGTGCTTTATATATATATATATATATATATATATGTATGTATGTATGTATGTATGTATCTATGACAGAAAACAGTGTATTGAATAATTAACTGATATTTTTTAAAACAAAAAGTAAAGTTAAAAAAAAGTTATCAACTACCTACCCTATTTTTTTTTTTGGCATGTTACCGCAGACACACATATTTATTTTTTATTTGACCTTAGCTGTCCATTATAATCTTGCCAGTTTTCCTACCAGTTCATTTAGAAAAGAAAATATTTCAAATGTTTGATGAATTTTCAGTACATGGCCATAAATTGTTGTGTATGTTTATTTATATATTTGTATGTAAAGATTAATGACAAAAAAACAGTAATAATCTTAAACATGGTTGTAAATGTGACTGTAAATTTGTATTTTATTAATTTTTTATCTCTTCTTAATGGAAAAAACTTTATTATGTTATAACATTGACATATATTTCAACATTTCAAAATGTACTGTATAATATCTTCTGTACATGGAACCAATACACAGATATATAAAGCACATTTGAGCACTGTCCTTGGGACTGATGAGTGGATCCAGGGTCCATGGATTTCACAATTTACTAAGAAGAGTATTACCACTTATCATCAAGCAAACCTCACTCTTCATAACCACCTAACTTATTTGCCAAGTATATAGGGGGAGAAAAGAATATTCTTAAAGAATTTATGCATTTACACACTACGGAGCCCAGTCCAATCTCCATATCCCCTGAATAAAGAAGAAGATTTTTAACGATAGCACTAATTTTGATGGTATTTAGCTCCATCCCTCAGGCCCCAGGAGAGCATAGACCATAAAATTCAAAAATTTATACTCCTTTAGCAAATGATGCTGTATGCCAAAACAGCTATGCATTATATGCATATGTTTTTGCCCTCATAAAAAAACATTTTGAAAATTTCTTGAAATGTGCCGAATTTTATATTACATTGTATGAAAAATCTGAATTAACAAAAAATTTTATAGTTTCGAAGTAGATCATAGTAGTAATTTTTGTTTCGATGACATCTCAAACTATTTGGATTTTGTAATATTTCTCAGAATGAGGTCAAAGTGGACAAAATTTGTAGACAAAAACCTGCTCCATATCGATATTCACATAACATGTATATCAAAAACATTGAGTTGGAGCAGATCTGCACTCAGTGACTTTTACTCAAAATATCGATGCAACATACTACATGCTACAAGAATTATGTAGGCACGAAGCATTTTAGTTCACATCCTCATGAATTCATACTCAAATACTGAATTCATTTAATATTAAGTAAACTTATTCAAATATAAATGTATGTCTATATGGTAAACAGTTAACAGCTGACTAAAATTCATTGCTGTAAGTTATGTACATACATGTACTTTTTGTGTTTTATTCATGTAGTCATGTACATGTGTACATATAAAGATCTGAATCAGTAAAAATCTCTGTCACTTTACTAAACCTACACATAAATGAGTACGATAATTTGCAGTATGTTCACACCTCCTTCTGTTGGATAGGACTATTTCATTTGTGTCATATTAATTATCATCTTTGTTCTCTGTCCCTATATCCTCCATAACCTCTGTTGTCATGGTAACGACCTTGATTATAGCCACCATAACCAGATCTGTCACGGTCATAATTGTCTCTGTATCCACGGTTATCTCCCCTGTAACCATGGTGATCTCTATAACCCTGGTGATGACCTCTTCTGTTGTTGTAGTTGTCATGGTGATAACCCCCACGTCTTTCTCCACGGTCTTGGTATCCACCTCTGTAATTATTATTTCATAGTGCTAAATTGAGCAGAATATTCTTCATCTGGTTAAGCAATGCTAAAAATTATCAAAATCTCTTATCAGAAGGAAGCAATATAGCATTGTTTTTCAAATTTGATGTGGATGTGTGGGGCTGGGGCATCAGCCAGGGAAATTTAAAAAAGAAAAAAAACACAATTTCACAAAAGTGGGTGAGTGATTAATTTCCCCTTCTATCCTTTTATTTATTATTATTTTTATTTATTTTTTATTTATTTTTATTGCTTTTTATGACAGCAATTTTTTAATTAAATTATTATTAATTATTCATATCAACTTTTAAGAAAATAAGTTGCTCAACTCTCAACATGCTCAAGTTGCTAATACAACTATCTTATCCTTGTAAAAAGATGTTTTGAATATAAATAATCAGGTATTGAAATATTTCAAATTGCATTTAATGTACCTTTGCCTACTAATAGTTTTTTTGGGAGAAAGATTTTGGTCCAAAACTCTATGTCTGACTTATAGGCAAGTCCTACAAATAATGGTCTTTTTTCTGGATGGCGAAATTAAGTGGGTCGTTTTAACAACTCCGACGATTATCGTATGAAATTGATTTCTTGAAAATAAAAGATTAAATACATTATTCATTTCCATGAACACAGGTAAAAACATTTGAGATACTGATATGAATTGATTTGTTGAGAATTAAAAATTAATTCCAAAATGTTGCAGCGACTTATAGGTGGGTCAATTGCAAAGTCTTCCAAAATAAGTTAAAAAATTACAACTGACTTATAAGCGGATCGACTTATAGGCGAGTATATACATTAAGTTGTTTTTGATAAAATGTGTTTACCTATTTCTGAAGTTTCCTCTGGATTTTTGGAACCAGTTTTTGACACAGGGAGGGGGAGGGGAGGGGTTATTAACTGTAGCCATATACTCCTCATCCTCTTCTGTGTATCTAGATTTAAACATCTGGTCATACAAGTCCAGTAACTCCTCTGTTGTGTTCTGTTCTGTTGTTGATTCTGATGCCATTCTTATACTGAAAGATACAGACCCTTGTTTATCCATTTCTGTCATTAAATTTGGATGTGTAAATTGTAAAATTTTATTGTCAATAGAAAGTTTATTCTGCGATTAAATTGCCAACACCATGCCCCGGGATCATGAAGCATCTTAAGCTAAGTCAAAATCTTTATGTTGTACTAAAATGTTGTAAAAGTCAAACAGGCCAAAATTAATCTATTTTACAATGCTGCTTTACAAAAGTGTAGTTATTTGCAAAATTAGAGATTAATTCAATATTAAATGATAAACATTTTACAGGCAATTGAAAATTTAAGTTTAAGTCTGTTTCATGATCCTGAGGCCAGATTCTCAAAGTTCTAAAAGTTTTGGGGCTATATAAATCAATTGACTTGTGACCACACACTTACTTTTTGAATCAAATTGATAAGATGGTCAATTTGGTCAACAAAGTAAGGCCAAAAAAAATAATAGTCTTGTTTCCTGCTACCCGACCTACCCTATTTTTTTGCACCAGACCCTAAAGTTTTTTTTAAGTTTTGGAAGAAAAAAAATCGAGAATTTCCGGAATTTCATCGTTCTGTCACCGTAATCAGTTTTTGTGTTAGCACAAAACAAGCATTTCGTGAAATTCTTGTTTTAAATATGGACTTTCAAAAAATACCACTTGAGTTGTGCATAAAAAGACATGAAATTCAATTTTAAAAGACAATATTGACCTGTGACATGTTTAATTTTATCTTGTATTAGTTCATATCCAAAAAATGCTGTCAGAAAAAAAATAAAATAAAAATATAAAATAAAATAATTTTCCTACCTACCGACCCTATTTTTTTCAGGCTGGTAGCAGGAAACAAGACTATTATTTTTTTTGGCCTAATTGATTGGTTATAATTCAACACAATGTGAAGTAAACATACTTCACCATGCCTCAAAACACACAAGGTATGTACAGTTTACCAAACAATGGAAGTATATCTTTTGCTTAACAAAAGCAGAAATGTATAAACTATCTTTTATTGGGAATGCTTTTTAATAGTCTATAGTATCTGGAGTACATTGTAGAACCCAACTGTGTTTTTTTTTTAACGGTAGAGAGAGTGCCAGGTTTTACTGGCATCATTGTTCCTGTAGGGCGGTTTTAAACCCCTCTACAGTTTTGCATGCACAACCGTATCTGGTAGATGGTTCCAATGTATGCATGTGTTGACAAAGAATGAGTGTTGGTATTGCGGTGTTCTGCAGCTAGGTATAACTAGACCTTTGCTGTTGTTACACACGTTTGTGAACTATATATATTTGTTGTATGGTGGTCCCTGAAATGTCTTGGTTTAATTTGGCATTTAGGTTTGACACTTGTTATGAATGAATTAGGAGGTAGTGACGGCACCAACCCCTCAACCACTTTATACATGAGGATGAGTCTCAGGGTCGTTCTTTTCTCCAGGGTCTCAATATCGAGGCTCATTCTCCATAGAACAAATATGCATTGTAACACACAATCGACTTTTTGTCTAATTCTTATAAGAAAACATATCTGTGAAATTTAAATAGTTTTATCAAGCTACTTTGAATAGCTTAATGAAGCTATATAGCTATTTCAAGCTATATAGCTAAATCAATAGATTGTGTAGGACCTGTGTACCAAGTTTACAACTTTAAAAAATTATAAACAGTTTTTTGATTCCGTAAAGGCTCGTCGTAAGGAACATATATATGCCCGTATAAGGCTAACTACAATTAATCACTTTGCTTCAAATACATTTGATAAAATAAACCCGAAAGTAAACTCACGTTGTAGAAATAAACTCTACTTTCACTTTTCGTTTTCAATAGTAACTCAAACGCTAAAATGTCGTATAACATCAGGATCAGCCTTGAGCCACTGTAAAACTTTTATATTTTGATTCAATGTGAATTTTATACTTTGTTTAGGAAGTTTAAATCTACTTAAAATAAGACTTAATAGTACTCTTAAGTTAACACAATTTTTAAAATCGTTGTTATTCGAGTCATTTTACGTACAAGTAATATCAGTTGAACGCATGCGACATCGCGACAGCAAAATTCGAAGAAGATTTAGAAGTAGTCGAAGTAGAGGGCAGGCTTAGCAGCTTACAGCGTTGTCAGCTAGAGGACGGTTCAATGTGTATTATGATTAAATCATTGTGTCATCTAACTAGTATGTAAATCACAAAAGAACAGGTGGGTATCAAGATCAAGTAGCCAACTCTCTTTGAGTTGTCCACTAAATCCTGTAGTCTTTATCCTTACATCTGTCCAGTGTGGATGTGGTATGGAAGTTTTTAATTGGAAGTGAGAAGCTGATGCATCAATATGTGTAATCAAATCTCTGTTGTCCTCTTCTTCTTAAACTGAGCTGAGCTGGGGTTTTCAAAGAGCGTGTTAAGTTCGGGCAGGGTGAGGGGGGTTAAAAACCTCAGTATTTACTTTAGATAAAAGTTTAAAAAGCAACTATAAATCAATTAGATTTAAAAAAGGTCATGTGGACTGCAGGCAGCCTGTCTAGCATGACCTTAAATTAGTCTTTAAATGGTGTTATTCCAAAATGATAGTAATCTGGTAATGGTTCCAGGGGAATAATTACAGTAGCTGTTAGCCAGGAATCTTTCTGCCCTTTTTCTGCACCATTTCAATGGATATTGATAAATGTGCTGTTTGTTGTCTCAGATAAATACTCCAGGGTTGGTCTCACAAAAGCTCTATATGCTATGTTATTACTTCTTAGCTGTTGGTTTGCAGTCTTTCATGTTCCATATCAGATAAATCCTAGGGATTGTGTATTTTCCTAATTTTAGAAATGATATAGTATTTCTCCAGGGGGAAGGGGACAATAAATTTCTCTATATGAACATAACTTAAAATGCTTTTGAAAATCTTTGAAAATTAGACGTACAAATAGGCTTTGAAAACTGCGTTTTTATTTAGGCCAAACAAAAAAATATGTTTGTTTACTGTTACATGCTGAAAAAAAATTGGGTCGGTAGGTAGGGATTTTTTTTTATTTTATTGATTTTTTTTAATTACAAATTCACATGAATTGGTTGAAATAGTAGTAAGTTTTACCATTGTGTGATGCTTTACTTTTGTTTGGGCTTGCCATATGGGCAATAGACAATATCTTTCTTGCCAACTGACTTACAGCTACCACACAATGGTAAAACTGTTTTGTATTCCTTCTTTAATTCCATGTGGCACTGACTAATAAATTTAGTGTTTACTCCAGACAAATTTTAATGCATGGGGGAATTTTGCTGAATATTGATGGCGTGCAGCATGTCTCGGTTGAGTTACTTGTACATTGTGTCATGTATCTGAATCTATATTTAAGTGAAAAATACAAATGCATTACCATTATTCATTTACAAATTTTTTTAATTTAAAAAATTTAAATGATAAATATATTTTGAATAAATTGTCAATTTAACTTTAAAAAAAATAAACAATTAATTAAATTCTTTTTTATAAGAATAGATCTAATCATCATTTTTTTTTATTGGTATTTTTATTCTCCTCTAATTAGCTACTGTCTTTTTATGTGCTGTGTTATTCTTGCTCTCTACAAACTGAATAGGCCCTAGTGAAACCCCCCCCTTTTTTTTTTTAAATTTACTTCCATTTTTTTTTTCGGTTGTCCCTACTTTTACAGTCATCTTTAAACAAAAAAGGGTGAACACTATGTAGCACCAATGACAACATAGTTACATTGGTGTCTGATTTTTTTTTTTTTCAACGTAAGCTGTTGAATGTAGGTTATTGTGTATTAAAGCATGTGCGCTTGACCGAAGTACTAGCCCATAGTTCATAGAGTAAATAAACAATGATAATGCTTATAGGACATGTTTATTTTAAGCATAAATTTATGCTAAAAATGGTATAAGAATTATGTGTGTAACTAATGAATCCTTTTTGATGTCGGAACATAAATACTATTTATAGAATGACCTGGAAATGTTGGAAAAACCCACATGTGCAATAACAAGTGTATTACTTTCATGGTGTATACTATCTTACAGCAATTAATAAATTTTTCATGGTTAGAAACATTTTTTAATTAAATAAAAACTTAATGTTTAATAACATACCAGTAAATTGCAATAAACATAAATTGACAGCTATATTGCATCATACCCCGTACCGTGATTCGCATCGAGTTCACGTACCACAAGTATGCAACATGTTTGTAGGATTCTAGTGATTTGAATTGTTTTATTAATAGATTAATAACTGATACATTCAAAGTAAATCATCTTCTTAAATAATTGTATACCATTAATAATTCATGCATAGCGGGAAGCATAGTGGCAATGTTTGATGCATGGCGGGAGATCTTGAATGCATGGCGGTATCCGCCATGCAAAAACGGCCTGGGGAAAATTTATAATAATTTAATCGAAAGTACTAGGAATAGTCTATTTCTAGTGCTTTCGATTTCAAACCGTTTGACCGTTTAAGATGCATGTAAAAGTTAAACTGACTGGTGAGTGACTTCTGGATTTTTACGACCAAAAAAAAATTTGGGTCGGCGATTAAATATAGGGTCGGTCGGGTAACCGTAAACAAACATATTTTTTTGTTACGCCTTATAGGTGCTGAAGATGTTTGCTACTAGTAGCCAGTTTAAACACTGGATGTTCAGTAATGAGGCGGAGCTTCAGTCCCTCAGACAGGAGGCCAACGAGAGATTTGTGGAGCAGTATGGGACCAAGATGTCGGTAAAGATTTGATTATATTCTAAGTTTATCATGTGGTTTGATTTGAGGATTCAAGAATTTTACAGATTTGTTATTTTGAACATATACATGTTGACACTGCCTGCCATGTCAATTATGGCACATTATATACAATTGATAGGTTTGTTTTGTGTCAAATGAAAATACAGTCTGCATATCTTAACATATACATGAAGGGGGAAAAAAATTGTATGTGACTGTATATAAATCAAGGTATTCAAAATTTAGTGCAGTCACTAGGTATTGAGAGCTTGGCATAATCATTAATTACCTATACACATGTCTGTGCTGCATATTTTATTTATTAATGATTTATTAATAGTATTCATGAATTAGGGTAGTGCAGTGTTATCCTCCCCAAAGCTGCCAAAATAATGAAGCCCACTTTATTAAGTACACATACAGTCGGTTAATGATGAGTTCTTTTCAAGAAATCATTAAATACTGTGGTAGTTGGAATATTTACTAAAGTTTAAACTGGGTTTCATCTCATCTGTATATACATAGTCACATACACTTGTTTAGTAATTAATGAGTTATCATTATTTTATCATGTTTTAATTATGCTTTGTCCTGCTTGCAGCCAGAGCAGAAGAAAGCCTATTTTCTGACGCCATCAGAGGAAAGACACCTTTGCCGCCATTTTGAATACGTCCTTAAAGAGTTCTGTAGCCGATTCCAGCCTCCTATGCCTAAATATGTTTTGGTAATGCTGCAGATTCTCACTTATGTTGTAATCAATGCAACTTCTGTTTTGGAAAAAAAAACAACTTTATTTATATAATTGCCTTGCCATCTTGTTTAAATAGGAATAAGTTAAAGAGTTTTCATAAAATATGAACTCCCAGAACAGTCCTACATGTGAGTTCTTCTCTGTTCACAACAAAGAGAAGCATCTTTAAGAAACCGTAATTTTTGTATACACACATAATTATGGCTGATCAGGGATTGTCCGTAATTCAACTTGAACCTACAACCTTCAGATAAACTACAAACTGTTGCACACTCTTACCCATGCAGAAACAAACATGCCTAAAATGTAAACTTTTCTATTTAAGCATCAAAGAGATGTTCATATTTTTCAGGGTACTGCCCTTTGTTATTTCAAGCGATTCTACATTAACTGTTCAGCTATGGACTACCATCCTAAAGATGTCATGTAAGATTGATATAAATACTGATCTTAGAATTTATACATGTATGTATTATTTATATGCTAATAGTCCACTTATAATTTGAAGATTCTGTAACTGTGTTCAAATAATTTTGCTGCTTCCATTTGTTCAAAGACAAAAGATTTTACCCTTTTTTTTATGGTAAGAATATATACATGTAGTAAACCAAATTTTATTTGTGTGTGCAAGAAATATCTGCGAGCTTCAGGACTTTCTTTTACTCACGAATATTTAACTACTTATGTTATTGTGTATTTATTTAAAGTCCTCAGTTGCTAAAATAAGTCATTGTGGATTGATTTCAAACTCACGGATCACGAATAATATTTGTTGGAAATAATGGTTGGTTTACAGTACTTTGTTTTAATTTTAGATATTACAGAATTATCTACCTGACCATGACAATTAATATGATATGCTTATTAGCTCACCTGAGCTGAAAGCTCAAGTGAGCTTTTCTGATCACTCGTCCGTCGTCCGTCCGTCTGTAAACTTTTCACATTTTCAACTTCTTCTCAAGAACCACTGGGCCAATTTTAACCAAATTTGGTACAAAGCATTCTTAAGTGAAGGGGAGTTTAAATTGTTAAAATAAAGGGCCAAACCCCCTTACAAGGGGAGATAATCAAGAAAAGACAAAAATAGGGTGGGGTCATTAAAAAATCTTCTTCTCAAGAACCACTGAAACTTATGTGGAAGCATCCTGGGGTAGTGTAGATTCTAAATTGTTAAAATCATGACCCCCGGGGGAAGGGCGGGGCCACAATAGGGAATCCATGTTTTACATTGAAATATATAGAAAAAATCTTTAAAAATCTTCTTCTCAAGAACCACTGGCCCAGAAAAGCTGAAACTTATGTGGAAGCATCCTGGGGTAGTGTAGATTTTAAATTGTTAAAATCATGACCCCGGAGGAAGGGCGGGGCCATAATAGGGAATCCAAGTTTTACATCGAAATATATAGAAAAAAATCTTTAAAAATCTTCTTCTCAAGAACCACTGGGTCAGAAAAGCTGAAACTTATGTGGAAGCATGCTGGTGTAGTGTAGATTCTAAATTGTTAAAATCTTGACCCCGGGGGAAGGGCGGGGCCACAATAGGGAATCCAAGTTTTACATTGAAATATATAGAAAAAAATCTTTAAAAATCTTCTTCTCAAGAACCACTGGGCCAGAAAAGCTGAAACTTATGTGGAAGCATCCTGTGGTAGTTAGATTCTAAATTGTTCAAATCATGACCCCCGGGGGAAGGGCGGGGCCACAATAGGGAATCCAAGTTTTACATTGAAATGTATAGGAAAAATCTTTAAAAATCTTCTTCTCAAGAACCACTGGGCCAGATAAGCTGAAACGTACTTGGAAGCATCCTGGGGTAGTGTAGATTCCAATTGTTCAAATCATGACCCCTGGGGATAGGGCGGGGCCACAATAAGTACTACACTGGGGGGAGGGAGAAATCAGGTGAAAAACAGCAAGGCCAAAGTTACTCAGGTGAGCGCTGTGGCCCATGGGCCTCTTCTTGTTTAAATGTAGGTTAACATGTGTATACCTTGCCAGTAAGGTTGAAGAGTTCAATGTGTCAATCAACCTATTTGTGGGGAACCTCAAAGGGGACAGGGAAAAGTTTGCCAACATAATCCTGACCTTTGAACTCTTGTTGATGGATAAACTCAACTACCATCTACTGGTTCATAATCCATACAGACCGTTGGAGGGGCTATTTATAGATCTCAAGGTTAGAGGTCAAGCACAATGACCTTGTCAGTTTGATGATATTTTTCAATAAGATACATGAACATACATATATACATATCAGTCTACATGGGTTTTTGCTAAATATCATGTCAATTTAAGATTAGTGAAGTGTGAAGGAAAAATTAAAATGGAAGATGAACTAAACATAAAGAACTACTTCATTATTATTTTTTTGTAAGAATTTGAAATGAGGATTCATTCTAAACATTTCAGTATGCATAAAGTTCCTATTTGTCTTTAATCTTACAAAGGTAATTCAGTCAGAGAAATAAATTATTGTATTTTCTAACATTATATTCACCTTCCAATGGCATTATGTAGAACAAAAACTCTGGTTTAAATTCATAATAAATGAAATTTTCAAAAATTGTTCAAATGAACTATGTGGAAACAATCTGATAATTTTGTCAGTAATTTGATTTCTGTCAGCTTTTAAAACATACTGTCTTTTTTCCCACTCAGTAACAATTACATAGACCAAAGTCAGAGATTTCTGGATTTATGCTGGTAATTATAATGATGTAGAATTAATTTTATACAAACGATAAAAAATATTCTGCTCTTTTTTAGACCAGATTCAGAGTCCTTGAGAATCCAGAAAAACTTCGTAAAGGAGCAGAGGATTTCCTGGAGAAGTCTCTGATGACAGACGTTTGTTTGTTGTTCGCTCCTTCTCAGGTAAGTCATTAGTAGAAAAATTCTCTCCCATGTCTGGCTTGTACATCAAACAGTTAAATAATTTCAGTGCAAATAATGTATATAAACAAATAATTTGTGTAAATATACCTAACATATATTTTAAATTTGTCATTGAAATATATATATATCCATGCGTGGATCTAGAGGGGGGGGGGAAGGGTCGGGGGTTCTGGAATTTGTAGAATTACTAAAAGTATATACTGGAGCAAATAAAAAATGGACTTTGGACCCCCCACCCCTAGAAATCGTGGACCCACCATCATCACCACGAAATGGGTGATTTTTTTCATGTTTTGGAAATGGATTAGTTTTTTTTTTCCTTTTTTGCTTGTCAAGAAACTTTTGGGTTGGAAATTTGTTTTGACTGGTGTGGAAACCCCCCTCTTTAATATTAATGTTTAAATAATAGCTACAGTACTTTAAAACTTTTAGAGAATATGAAAATATAAATATTTTAACACTAAGGAAATAATGACATGAACATGTTGGTTTGAATAATGACAGACTTTATAGTTCATTGAGCCGTGGATTCAATTAATTTGTAGATTGCGTTGACTGCAGTCTTAGTCAGTGCAGCTAAAGAAAAGGCAAACTTAGACAGGTGTGTATGAAATAATGGCAATCTACAGTACAGTAATATACAGGATATAATATGTGGATCTGCCAAAGAAATGGTTATTTTTAGGGCACTGTTCAAAATGGCAAATATAGTTACTGCTGTTTTGTCAAAAGTAGGTAGATTTATTATTGTGAAGTCGGTGTAAGATTCCTGAGTCAGGAGGGATAACTCTGTATTTAATCTAAGTGAATTCTGAGTATGAGTTGCTATGTTTTCTTTGGCATTAGTTTTTAGGTTTTCATCATTTATCTAGAAGAAATAGTAATAATAATAATTGTGAAATACCAGTATTAGAGGGAAAATAGATTCTTCACCATGAGTCTGTCAAATTATAATCAAATTTAGAATTGTTACAGTCCAAGGGAGATAGTTGTATTTCTAGACCATACAAATATTTCTATAACATACATATTTGTTTCATCATAAAAAAACTTTCTGAAAACACAGTTTCATAAACAAAATCCTTTTTATAACTAGGTCAAGTTGTCTTTAAAAAATAATGAAATGTCAGGATGTATTTTGAATTATAGATGTAATAAATAATGGACATGCATAATAAATTATTGATATAATGGTGAATAAAGGATAAAATAAGGACAGCTTATCTTGTATTTGATCACTATTGTATCAATTATACCCCCGCTCCGAAGGAGAAGGGGGTATACTGTTTAACCCTTGTGTGTCTGTCTGTTTGTCCATCTGTCTAGCTGTCTGTCCGTAACAAATTTTCATTGCAGTTTTCTCAGCAACTTTTCATGGCAGATGCTTGAAATTTTAGCACTTTCTTTGTTTGGTATGCCATATTTTGGGATTCATTTTCATTTGTATGAATCTGATATCAACTTCCTGTTTATCTGTGCGTCAGTCTGGACCAAACTTTTGTTGCAGTTTTCTCAGCATTTACTCTTTACAGATGCTTGAAATTTTAGCACACTCTTTGGTTTGGTCTGCCATATAGTGGGATTTATTTTTGTATGAATCTGATGTCAGCTTCCTGTTTATCCATGTGTCTTTCCCTACCAAATTTCTGTCACAGTTTTCTCAGCAACTACTCGTAGTTCACATGACAGTGTATAATCACATCAGAGTGGGGGTATTACTAGTGAGCATTGGCTCAGAGACTTCTAAGTTCTTGTTTTATTGGCTTTTAGTTAACTATTTATGCAATGCTAGTACCAAGTTTTATTAGGTCTGCCTTGTATGTTTTTTTTTAATGAAGGGTTTTCTCTTTTAAAAGATATGTCACAGAAACATTGCTAAAAGGCATGTCATCTGAAGATATCAAGAAACTACAGGTACAAATCAAAAGTAAGTACAGGTGTGTACAAAGTAAAGAATTCAAATACTTGTCATAAACTGTTGTTCTTGTTGGCTAGGCTGGTAAAAATTTGTCTGAACCAATAACTTTTAAGAAAAAGTCAGTCGAGCTGACCATTTGAAAAAGTCAAGTGTGATGCAAATTTTAAAAAGATCAGGGTGCGCAGGTGAAGGTCACAAAAACAGTAGAGATGGCTATGCGATCGAATAAATTTGTTACAGCTATGATATAAAACATGTCATTTATGTTTCTTATTAAAGGCTCTCTATCCTAAGAAAAGAAACTTAATTGTGAGATTGAAGGCTGTTGAAAATAATAAAGGCCATTTTTGTGCTTTTATTTATTTTCATTTCTCAGCATCAATATAAGGTACATGAATCTGGTCTGACAAAACTTTGTCCAGTCTGTCAGAACATTTTACTTTTTCAGACCAAATGTCACTCATCATTTTTAAGTACATGTATTACTTTTTGGTATTATAAGTGAGGAAAATATCTCTATCTATCTGAATTCAAAATTTCGACAAGTCTGCTAAAATTGCCAAAAGGCATTTTTGTTTTTGTCATTGAATTCTTGTTATTTTGATGAGATGTTAGAATTCCATCAAAGAACATTTCTGATAAGCTGTTTCTGTATGTATTTAAATTTTTGAATTGTGAAGTATGGGAAAATTTCACCATGACATCTCAATGAATGATGGAGATCTTAAAGCAGAATAGCTAGTCCAAAATGAGTGAAAAAGTTTATCCTTACATGAGAGTAACATAAATTTAATATTTTTTAAAAAAATATTTTCAAAACTTGCAAATCCCAAAAGCTTGGGAACTGAGACTTTGGTGATATGTCCCTAGATATACAGTGTTTGACACTGAAAGAATCGATGTAAATTCATTCAACTATAATTTCTTATTAATTTTGTAGAGCTAAGACACATGGTGAAATCTCAGGAACAGATCCCCAGGGAACAAATGGCTCAACTACAGAGAAAACTGGACCAGTGTCGCAACCAGGAAAACAACCCAGAGAGTGAAGTGTAAGTATCCCAAAATAGAAATATTGTATAGGGAGAGTGAAGTGTAAGTATCCAGAAATAGAAATATTGTATAGGGAGAGTGACCTGTAAGTACCCAAAAATAGAAATATTGTATAGGGAGAGTGAAGTTTAAGTATCCAGAAATAGAAATATTGTATAGGGAGAGAGAAGTTTAAGTATCCAGAAATAGAAATATTGTATAGGGAGAGTGAAGTGCAAGTATCCCAAAATAGAAATATTGTATAGAGAGAGTGAAGTGTAAGCATACAGAAATAGAACTATTGTATAGGGACTTAATCCAGAGAGTGAAGTGTAAGTATCCAGAAATAGAAATATTGTATAGCCAAAGTGTAGTGTAAGTACCCAAAAATAGAAATATTGTATAGAGAGAGTGAAAAGCAAGTATCCAAAAATAGAAATATTGTATAGGGTGAGTGAAGTGTAAGCATACAGAAATAAAACTATTGCAATGGGAGAGTAAAAGTTAATTATCCAGAAATAAAAATATTGCATAGGGAGAGTGACCTGTAAGTACCCAAAAATAGAAATATTGAATAGGGAGAGTAAAGTGTAAGTATCCTAAAATTGAAATATTGTATAGGGAGAGTGAAAGGTAATTATCCAGAAATAAAAATAATGTATAGGGAGAGTGAGGAGTAAGTATCCTAAAATAGAAATATTGTATAGGGACATAAACAACCTAGAAAGTGTTGTGTAAGTATCCTTACATAATAATATTGTATTGGGACTTAAATTCATTATTGTATATATCATGTCTTTGAACTCTCTATAGCAATTGTTTGAATTCTGGTCATGTATTAGATATTCTGTTTGTTTTCATTTGTATGTATCATAGTCATTTAAACATTGAAATTGAATTACAGCTTTTTTTGAAAGAGTCAGAATATACTGAAAATAATACAGGATCTGTTTTCTCCATTTTAGTGTGCAGAATATAAGCCATCAATTGTACATATTAAAAGTAGAACAAATGATACTAGTATAAAATAAGAAAAGCAAAAGGGTTGTGTAAAGAAGAAGGTACAGTTTTGGCTTTATTGTGCCCTAAAAATTGAATGTTTTCAAAAAGTTTTGAAATGGTCATAAATATGAGTTGAGTATATGAGTGTGATAATTCATGAAAGAATATGGCATGAAGGAGGACCATTCTGGAAATATGACGCCATTAATTTCGTATTTTTCTAAGTTTTAAGCAGAAAAAGCCTCAAAATGACTCATTTCAGGGGGTATTTTCCTTGAGAAAATAGTGTCCACAGCCATCGCCCACTTTAATATTCGGATATGTTGTGTAAAATTCTTTAAAAAATCGCATATCTCAAAATCTTAATGGGCGATGCATGTGGTCTATATTATCTGAAAGAAAATTTCACTGAAAATTGAATTCTTCTGCAACTTTTTAAGAAAATATGGGAAAATGCTTGAGTTTATGACGTCACAATTAGCATTTAGGAAGTCAGATGAGAAAAACGATTTGTTTGATCTTAGTGCATGGAGTTTCAACTTTTCAGAAAGCATGAATTTTAATTTCCTTCATCACTTTCATATTTTAGAAAAATACAGGGCCAGATTTGTATTGAAACTGTACCTTGTTCTTTACTGTGTGAGGTTGAACCAAGTGATCAAATATTAAACATTTTTAAATTTGTCTTTGTGAATAGAAATTGATTATTTCAAAAATAACAAGCTGAATATGCGAATTGAAGGGGGGGGGGGGGGGCAACCAAACAGAAAATCCTTGACAAGCAGAGTACATCACACATGATTATGGAGGGGGCAAAACTGTAATTAGCTCACCTGAGCTGAAAGCTCAAGTGAGCTTTTCTGATCACCTGTTGTCTGTCGTCCGTCCATCCGTCTGTAAACTTTTCACATTTTCAACTTCTTCTCAAGAACCACTGGGCCAATTTTAACCAAACTTGGTACAAAGCATCCTTTGGCAAAGGGAAGTTTAAATTGTTAAAAGGAAGGGCCAAGCCCTCTTCAAAGGGGAGATAATCAAGAAAAGACAAAAATTGGGTGGGGTCATTAAAAAATCTTCTCAAGAACCACTGGGCCAGAAAAGCTGAAACTTATGTGGAAGCATCCTTGGGTAGTGTAGATTCTAAATTGTTCAAATCATGACCCCCGGGGGTAGGGCGGGGCCACAATAGGGAATCCAAGTTTTTCATTGAAATATGTAGAAAATTTTTAAAAAAAATCTTCTCAAGAACCACTGAAAAGCTGAAATTTATGTGGAAACATTCTGGGGTAGTGTAGATTCTAAATTGTTCAAATCATGACCCCCTGGGGTAGGGTGGGACGACAATAGGGAATTCAAGTTTTGCATTGAAATATGTAGAAAAAAAATCTTTAAAAATCTTCTTCTCAAGAACCACTGGGCCAGAAAAGCTGAAACTTATGTGGAAGCATCTTGGGGTAGTGTAAATTCTGAATTATTCAAATCATGACCCCGGGGGTAGGGCGGGACCACAATAGGGAATCCAAGTTTTGCATTGAAATATGTAGAAAAATTTTTTTTAAATCTTCTTCACAAGAACCCATGGGCCAGAAAGGCTGAAACTTAAGTGGCAGCATCCTGGGGTAGTGTAGATTCTAAATTGTTCAAATCATGACCCCTGGGGGTAGGGCGGGGCCACAGTAAGTACTACAAGAGGGAAATCAGGTGAAAAACAGCAAGGCCAATATTACTTAGGTGAGCTTTGTGGCCCATGGGCCTCTTGTTTAGCTTCCTTTTCTTTTATATAGTATATGTATACAGTAAAACATGCTTATGACAAAGTGCCAGGTGTGGAGGATTTTGCTTCATTATATATGTAATTTGTTACATCCATTATGTTTCACATTTTTGTTTTAAAGCCATGGGGAACAAAAATCATTTCACTGTAAGCATGTTCACTGTAAGTGTGTTTTACTGTAGATGTTTTGGCAAAATTATCGGATTGAATTAAGTCTTAACTAGGCCATGCAGATAGAGATTTGAGGCTTAATACATGTATTTGAAGGTAATGCTAATGTTAACTGGAAGTGATCGTCAGAAACAGAGGGAAGATGGACCAAATGATGTTTTCTTTTTAAACTTTCAGGTACAAAAGAAAACTACAGGAAATGCTGGATGAAGATGAGGAAATTCAGACTAAGAAAAGAAAGAAAATAAGTGAAGTAAGCTATTATGGTTTTGTCCTTAAACAGTTTCATTTCAATGTCTTTTAGAACAACTCAACTAACTTTATTTAACTGGGCAGTCTGTAATGAAGAATGAGTAAAAAGCTCTGTGACAGAGACAGTTATCATTCAGATTTATTCAAACTTTTGTCTCCATAATAGGACAACATTTCAGGAATACAGTACTTTTAATCAAGCAAAATTAAAAAACTTTCTGCAGCAACATTTTATTTTCCCCAGTGAATTGAAGTATGCACATAGATCAAGATCAAGATATTCATTTAAAAAAAGCATAGGTAGAACTAGTGCATATAGAATGTGATTAAATTCTGACATGATATCATGGTTTATTATAGGAACAACGAAAGAGAGATGAAGAACTTTTGTCATGATTTACAGTGTGCTCCTACAATAAAAGCTTTGGGGAGGTCAACTCAATTTAAGGCAGACATCCTAGCAAAACATCAGTACTGAATATCTGTGCAAAAACATGAATTTCTGTTTATAAGGGAGATGCATCAATTATTTAAGAAGAAATCATATTTTGTTTAAAGGGAATAATTTTTAAAAGTTACTTTTTTGTGTTTTGATAGATTAAAGAAATTGTTTACTGATTTTCAAAGTAACCGGAATAGCGATTGTTCTGAGTGAAGACGGTGCAATTTTATTTCCTGCTATTACATGTAATAAAACGAGAAAAGTTGATAGACTGAAAAAGGAACTAAGAGCACTCAGCCTAGAAAAAAATTTACATGTTTGATAAGTAACTGTGAGTTACTGAGAATACGGACATGGCTATCAAGTCACTGCCAAGTAATTTTAAATATTGTTTTGTAAAAGTGTTGGAAGAATTATTGAATATAAATTCAAGAGACCCTCATCCTTACGGTTTTCACAAAACCCTAATCTGACTATTGATTCTTCCAATAAAAACTGCCTATGCATAATATAATGAAAAGTTTATCATTATTATGAATGCAATTATAACAATTGTATCTCTTTATAGCATTGTTTGTTTTATTGAATAAACCATAGAAAGATAATTTGTACATGTTTATTCACCACTGAAAGTTTGGCTAAATATTCTATCTGAATAGTTTCATATGTAGTTGATGCAGTTAGAGTTATCTGCCCTTTGATGTAAAATCTGCAGTAAAAGTCAAAAATTGAAAAAGATTTTTTGTAATTTGATATTGGACCAAGATAGAGTAATTGAAAACATAATTTGCCTGTATTTACCCAGTGTAAGAAAGTAAATACAATACATATAAACAAAAGGGAATTCTGTTCACTAATATTCATTGTCTTTAGAACATTTCTCCTGGAGAAATATGGTAGGTACCTATGCTGAAAAAATGAACAAGTTAAAGATTATGCACACCTTTGTACAACACAGTTTTCTCAAGGTCCAAAAAAACTTTTTTCACTAGTGTGTAGAGCTTTCTTGAACCCAAAGTTGAAAACGGTAGCTTTGTAAATGTTGTATAAATTTACTTTCACCAAGTAAATTCAAAATTTAAAACATAAAAGCGGAATGAGGATTCCAACTTTTATCTCATCATGTTCCTGTCTTTGAATGTGAGGGACATTTATATATATATATATATATATATATATATATATATATATATATATATATATATATATATATATACATATATATATATATTTAAATTCAAAAGATTCAGAAGGTATTAAAAAAAAATGTATGCAGGCTTCATATATAAAATTTTTGTTTGAGATCACCTCAAAACAATTCCTGAAGATCCTCTCCAAATACAGCCGTTTCTGCATTAAACAAGAACTGATTTTTTGTGAGATGGAAATTTTTTGTGAACTCTGGTTTTACCAGGTTCATGAAAGTTTTAGGAGTGCTGGGGTGCGTTCAACAGCGTAGTTGCTACGCAGCCTCTAAGTAAAGTTTATACTGATATATTTATATTAGCGGCTAGCTTAGCTGTCCGTTCAGTAGAGATAGATATCTACAACCTAGCTGCTAGGTTAGCCACTACGATCTTGAACGCAACCCTGATCTTTTGGTGTGCTGTTCTTGGAGGATGTGATACGGAATTACAAGCAGTAGATTTTCAAGCACTTTCTTGTTATTTTTACTTATTGAATTGTGCATGTTAATATAGAATTGCTTTGAAAAATCTTTTATGTTATACCCTCAAAAATTCGTTTTTTATGCATGTATACCACATATAAAAGTTAATTGTCTACTTTTAGAAGCTTATAAACTGATATTTAACAAAATTGAAAAAAAAAATACTGAAGTTCCACCAGCACTGTATATGAGAAGATTCCCTTTTTCATGATTTGAAAAAGAATGTATATATAAGTGTTTTTAGTGTTTATTTTACGATCAGTGTGTGCACGTATTAATTGGAAATTCTAGGTATGCACACTATTAATAAATCTGTGTGATTTGAAGCATTGTACGTACGTAATTTACTAAGCAAGTTTTCAATTTCTTTTACATGAAATACTTCCATAGATAAAAAAAGAAATATTAGTATGAATGCAAAATCATGCACATTTTGTGAAAAGAAATGTAATCCTGGTTTATGCTCCTAGTACGATTACTGGCGGGCTGTGCATGAATGATCTAAAAATAGACTACACCTTGTGAACAAGCCGAAAGGTAAAAATAAAATCGGAAATTTATCTAAAATTATTTCAAGATTTTTTTTAAAGAAGAAAAAACCTGCACAATTCTAAAAACTAAATCGAAAGTAAATTAATAAAAAAAAAAAAAAAATGTTTTTTCTGTATTCAAGCAGATACAGAAATAATTGTGAGATAGCTTTCAGTATTCTTATACGTTAAATCCCGATGCGTTCAGGATTATTGAAAAAATGTAATTATATCATATGGATTGTAATAAAAGATGACTATGTTCAGATTCCCTGTGTTTGAAATTGCTCATTGCCCAAAAAATCTGACATCTCTTAGAGAATCGGCTCTGAAAATAAACTGTACAAACCCAGACTTTTACTACTGCATTCCAAACTACCAGAAGTCGGCCCTTGTGGAGTTTTGCTATGACCGGGAACCATCGCTTTTCGAAAGTGGTAAGTTTTGTGATTTATTTAAAACATCAATTTTTATTCGAGGTAAAAAAAATCTTTGTATATCCAAAGAGAATCGTATTTGATCTGTCAACCTCCTTTAAGATTAAAAAGAAAATATGTTCTTGAAACCTATAATATTGAAGATAACGAGTCAACCGGCCCTGGCTAAAAAAAAAAGCGTAACATTCATTTGACACACTCGTATATTCCAAAACTTATAAATTTTTTTAGTCATAAAATTATATTGAAAAAAGAATATTGGATGCAGAGACCCTAGTTTCTTACACAAGTTATAATACAGTTGTTGCGTGTACTGAAGAATTGTCAATTAAATTACAATGATCAGATCGAGTATACCGGGTATGTTAATTCCTATATATGTATGGCTCTTTATATACTACCATTAAAGTTAAGTCTTGCCTCCTATTCAGAATGAATGATTAGCGATATTCAATTTTAGCGACCTCAACACACTCGCTAATAATGCCAAAATTGAATCCTCCCTAAAAATTCTGCTTATATTAAATACGGAATGTTAATTCCTGTATACGTATGACTCTTCCTACCAACTTTACAGGGGTTTGCGTTTTCTTGGGTGGGTCAAAGGTCATTTTTAGATACTTTTTAAAGTACATTTAAAAACTCTGTAAATTCCAGCAGGGGGCCTCCCCCACCCCCAACCTCTCCACCTGCACATGGCTTTCACTACTAAAAAAGAAAGCAAACATTTTAAATGTCACCCCGAAATAAACACACATATCTTGATATTTGAAAACTACTATATTGCAATGTGCTTGAAAATACATATGGTGCTATTCGATTCAGACAGGAAGTTATAATCTGTTTTAAAATTCTTTTGTGTGACGCTTTGAATGTTTATGTGAGGACGAATATTCCTATATAATAATGACCTCTAGTAACAAGTATTTTCGACTTTTTGAAAAGGGCATATACATTTATTTTAGTAAAAATAAAATACACAGCTTCAACTCGTATTGGATAGAGCAGAAGATAGAGCAAATACTAACTTGAAAGATCCATCGTCAAATCGAAATAAAATACCTGGTTAAAGCTGCAAGATACACGTAAAGCAAATTCTAATATAATTGCAAACGCCTCTTTCGTCAATATATTGATTTTTTTTCTTGTCTAGGAAATTGCTTGCAGCTGGCGGGAGCAGGATATCTAAATCAAGACAGCTGCGCACTGTTCACTTCAGGGTGTCCAACTGAACCATTTCCGGGAAATTCAATATACAAATGCACGTAAACTAGAATAGCGAAAGCGAAATCATTGTGAATTTTAATAGAATGTCAATATTCAACGAAAAAAAAAATACACTTCGAAATTAAAGCAACATGAACAAGTACTCAGCACTGATTGACATATGAACGCATGGTCATTTCTATAAAACGCAATGAACATTACAAATTATGTAACTTTTAAAAAGCTAATTTCACTTTCATGTATCTGAGTCTTAACTGAACAAAATTGAATTCCTGATATTGAAGTAAATATTAACAGTGTACTTGATGATGTGGATTTTTCAATCTTGGAATATTTTTTTTTCAGTTGAAGAATGCCAAGACATCGACACAATACACCGTTGTTACCGTGCAGATCCAAACTGTACAAATTCTACTAGGTACTTTTTGCAATATGTCTGTCTACATGCTTGTATAATACGTTTTATGAGTGTAAGCGGTGCATACGTCTTTTTTAATTTTAATATGTGCCATCGATTCATCAGCCTTTTTCACAAAGTACATAAAATGCCTTCTTTCGTCTAGATTTCTTTTGCATTAACATTTTTGTATTTTAAAGAGATTCTACATTTTATATTTAAGTTTGACAACAATATGGCCGACTTTTACCACGCAAGAAGACGGTTCATCGTCACTATCAACACCTCAATATGATGAAAACTTCACGGATATAACTGAGGACTGGATGAGGAACAGTGAGGAGGATCCCGCCGTAATTGTAGTCGTAGTTGTCATACTTCTAATCCTGGTTGCTGCTGGTTTTGCGTTCTTTATGATAAGGCGAAAATTTGGTGAACTAGCTAGAAACCCTGCCTTCGAAGTACTGTATTCAAGGGAACACGGTAACGACAATTTAGCCACAAGGGTATCCAATAGCAGCCAATTAGGTGAGAATTTCTTGATCAGTTGAGTGGAAATTGTTTTAAGTTTTATTGATGATCAATCTGTCATATTGTAATTTTTAAATTTACCGGGTGGTAGTTTGTAATTTTTGTATTTACTACCAACCGGTAAATTCAAAAATTACAATATGACAAATCTGTTGCGTGTTGGGGGGATTTTAAGTGATCACTATGAAAATGTTTATAAACTTTTTATAGTGGAAGTAGAAGTTTTTTTTTTGTTTTTAGACAGGAGGCATAGAGCAAGGGTGTATATCGAGTTATGATCTTTTTAAGGACTTAGCTAACAATTTATGATTAAATCTGTGTAACGTATCGCAATCTTTATAAAATAAGAATGTATTTTTTTTTACCTTTATTTAGTCATTGCGATTAGACAATGTATGAATGGGCTCTATATATTCATACCTTGGAACGCAACTTTATCGAAAATAAACTGGACTAAAGATGGATCAGCCATTGATATAAATAACAGAGAGAAGTACAAAACCGGAGAGGACAGCACCCCTATGCTTATTGTAAATGGCGCCACTTCAGATGACAGCGGAGAATACGTGTGCAGGGGAACTTCTTTAGGACATATTCCTGTCATGAGCAAGCCGATTTATATAGGTTAGTCATGAATACATGAATATTCTGCATGTGCATCAATAAATCTTCAAAATTTGAAACAAACCATTATATATTACTGTGGAATCATCATTGTTCGAGGGGGACCAATGTTCGTGGATTTCATGGGTCACCCTTACGCATGGATTTACTTCCCTATGGACGTTTATGTTGTAAATGTATTGATTCATTGAATCTACCATATAACGAGTAACCCACGAAATTACGTCCCCTAGTACAAGTAAAATATTGCTTCCCCACGAACATTGACCCCCACGAATTAAAATGATTCCACAGTATTGAATGGCTACTTAGAGCTAATGAAAAGTCAGTCTTATTGAAAAAAAAATAGCTTCATCATCCGGACTTATTATATGTCATGCGACATATGACAGGAGGGAGAGTGAAAGATAAAGTTTGATTTAGATATCGACAACGGTAACACCTGTGAAATGAAAACTCCTGACATCATAATAAAATAGTTGGTTGACAATTTTATTAAAATATATGTTTTATACAGATTTTTTTTCACTCTATGATTTGGCCAGGAATAACCCCTGTACACCTCAAAAGTCCTTCAGTAGTGAATGTTGGGGAACCCTTATCCAATCACTGGGACTGGCCGTATTTGAAACCTGACACGACTAAAACTGAGTCCAAAGACCTCGATCTTTACACCATCATGATCCCAGAACCTCATGTCGAGACACAGGATAGTAACCACGGTAAGGAATACAAGAACATGTTTGTCCTTTGCCAATACATAGCAATGATTATTTTTAAATATGTATTCAGTACTGTTGTTACACCTGTTTACAAATTAAAGTACCATGAATAAGGTTTGTAAGTTCTGAATTGAAAACTTTAATATACAATTGCAATGAATAAGAAGTTGTAGTATGTCTCGAAATTTTCTTACAGATTTGTTTAGCAGAATAGATTTCAACTCAATCAAAAGGTACCTTCATTTCTGGCTTCTGTTCTGCGAGGGAGGGACAGTTGATCTGAACAGCAAAGAACACATGGAGATCCTGAAGAACTTGTACGAATTCACAAAGGGTCCAGATGCAGAACCTATCCCAGAGGATCTAAGATCTGTTTGCACAACATATGATAGCATGATTTGTACGGACACCCAATTGTCATTTACTTCAGATGAAATTGAAAGACAAAGTCTCTGGGCTTACATTCAGCATGGTTATCTTGTTCAGAAAAATGTTCATTTTCTTCTGGATAAAGCACCAGTTGCCTTGATTGCAAAGTACTGCAGAACATCTGGGTATCGTGGTTCTCAAGAGGAATGGTGTCTTTGTCTCCCTGGTATTTTCACTGAGAAACTTATAGCAAAGATGGACTTGGATATAATCACACACCCAGCTATTACTGATACCGATATTCATCCATTAGTGAGTCAAATATGTAAGTAAGTTTAGATAGTCAAACCATTTAAAGTCACTCCAAAATTCTACTGGCATAGTTTTATGGCGTGAATTTGTTTTAGAGATTCAATAATTACTTTGATAATGATGCAGTGATTCTTAGATGTGGTGGTAATTAAAGTAACGCAAAACATGTTCTAAAACTTTTCAGCATGTTATTCATTCACAAGATCAGAATGTGTGTATATCTGTGTTTCAAGGATACTTATGTGTTAATTTACACCTGCACTTACATAACTAGTTAATTTTGTTATAATGACTGTCTACACATCCTCCTTTATTTATGACACAAACATTGCTATCATTCCAGCTAGCTGAAATTGATTGTTCATTTTTAGTAAAAATTCCTGAGGAAATTCTGCGATGGGAATATGACCAACGCCGGAAGTTCTTGGAAAGCATACGTGAAGAAAGCATTGCAATGTTCAGGGGAAGAGCTATGATAGTAGGGTGTGTGGGGGCAGGTAAAACTACCTTCCTACGAAGACTTCAATCCAAATGGTCATTAGAGGATCTATACACAACAGAGTCAACTGTTGGACTGGAAGTTTATCATAATCTATTCCTAATCGTGGACGGTGAAGACCAGAGATTGCTGAAAGGTGAAAATATCAATTATCTCGCTCAACATTTTTCTTAACTTGCCAAATGATTGGTCTTTCTCCACTCTTGTACGTTCATTTTTTTCCAATTCGGGGAATATTAAATATTGTCATAGTTTCTCACACTTCATGTCAATTTTTATGTTTTTAAATGTATGTTAACTATTTTCTTTATGCTATAATATTATTTGCTATCATGTATCTTGTCTGAAATAAGTTATGTTTGTTTTATGTTCAAGGTAATTGTATGTATTATCACTAATGTACCATGTGTGAAATATCTTACAGAGATACCACAAGGAATGTCTTGCGATGTTGAAAGACACATAAAGAACAGAGAAAAGCTAATCAGTGTAACTGACTTTGGTGGTCAGTGTTCATATTATGCTTGTCATCAAATTTACCTGACAAGACGTGCCTTCTATATTCTTGTGATAGACATGTCAAAAGGATTAGAAGAAAAGGTTGACTCCACTCGATTAGACGCAAATGGATCCATTTATGAAGATTGGACTTACAAAGGTTGGGGCTACATCTATTCATGAAAACACTCTGTATTTATTTTTTGACGAAGGGTAAAGAAAATTTAAAAAAGTGCAATTTCTTTCATTCATTGGCCATACATCCTGTAGATTTCAGAAATACAGTGATGAAGAGATTATAGAAACTTATAACTGAGCAGATAAGACATTCGACAAAAAGATCTCAAAAGTATCAACATTTTCTATTGCAAATTTCCCTAATCTTTTCGTACAAGTAGTACACAGATTATTACAAAGGATATACATGCAATGGTGTGGACAAACTAAACTGACCAAGTACAGTTTAGCATGTTAGCATGCATACAGGACTAAAAAAATTCGAGTATATAATATGAGTATGTTGTTTGTAGGTATAATGATAAACAAACAGGTATATTAAAAGGCTAAATATTTTTAGAATACTTCCTCTACTGGATGCAGTCTATCAGCACTTACTGTGATGATACGACACCTGTAATACTGGTGGCAACACACAAAGATAAAGTCAGTGAACAAGTAAGAATCAGAAGGTTAAATCTGGAGATCAAACATCTGCATCATACCTCTCTAATGTATATTTTTCTTTAAAAATCATGTTTTACAAATTCTGAACGATGACATTTTACATACTTCATCTTATTTTTTGGATTCTCTGTAATTCACATTTATTAACTATTGTAAATATTAAGATCGAACAATGAAATTTTCACATAATTAATGGGAAATGTCAGGCATATAAACGGAATCCACAAGTCTTGGGGTCTAGTCACACTTGATAATCAAAAATGAAAATCGATTGTACCTGACCTTACCTCTGTCTTCAGAAGTCCGAGTTTGCTCTGCTCACTATTTTTATTGTTTGGTTGGACTTTTGATCATGATTACTATTCGTTATTTACACAGTTCGCTGCTCTTTTCAGGGCAGGACAGAATGTTTTTATGACATATTAATGGATTGCTTGCCAAGAGACTCAGAACTGAAACGGCACCTCTCACAAAAACGATACTTTGAGATTCAACTTCCCCCTCCAGAAGAAAATGAAACAAAGGTTATAGAGAACACCATTGTAGAAGTCGCTACTAAACAAACGCACTGGGGAGAAAGAGTTCCTGCCAAATGGGCCATGTTCGAAATATCTCTGTCAGAGATAAAAACAGAAAAAAAGATAATGAGCATTGAAGAACTAAAACAAAACATTAGAATTGAGCTTCCTGACAAAGATGAAGACTTGCGCATCATGCTGTCTTTCTTTCATGAAATCGGAACAATACTGTATTTTAATGAAGAAGGGTTGAATAAAATGGTTATTCTGGATGTTCAATGGTTTGTTGATGCTTTTAAGAACATTATTACTGACCCAACGCAAGTTAAAGATGCATCATTTACCGTCAGCGAATGGATGCAGTTTAACCAGACAGGCCAACTGAGCGATCGGCTCCTGAGTGAAATGTGGTCAAACTACAAATACGGATGCTTTGCTGAACACAAAAGTACCATTCTTCTATATATGCAAAGACTGGGTCTTATAGTGATGGGGAGAGAAGAGCACAAGGAATCAACATATCGACCTCCTTTCTGCGTAAAACAAGAGCAAGCAGGAGAGAAAACAAGACAAAATTACCACTATGTACCATGTATGAACAAGGAAAGTAGATCCGATACCTATGAGAAGATACTCAAGAATGGCACAAACAAAACTTCCATTCTGGTTTTCCGATTCAAGACATTCTTGCCTCATTTCTTTTACTACCGACTTGTTGTCCATTGTATGACTAGATGGCGGACTCTGGTTCAGGATGAGGTACCTTTAGTTTGCAAAGATGCAGTGTTTCTTCTACATGAAGATGATGATCATATACTCGTTCTTGGTGTTTGTAAGCCGTCCATCCAAATTCAGGTTGTTTGCCTTGAGGGTAACCTTGATGTGGATGTTACCTTGAAAATACGTGATGATGTTGAAAGCATGATGAAGTCTCTTACCACGACATTTCACAAACAAGTGCAATATGATATTGGTTATTTTTGTCAGGAAAAGGGATTTTGTGCAGATGTGGAACATTTCTTTATATCTGAACATGACCTTCTACAACTGAAAAGGGACACAACCTGGTGTAGAAAACATGCTAAGGAGAATCACAAGATTAATAGAAAGGACCTTCTTAAGTTTTGGAAAAAGGTTTGTACTTTTTCGTCACGAAGAAAATGTTTTTTCTATCAAGATCTGTACGTTATATGAAATGTTTCATTTCTGAAACTTTGCACATCCATATCCTATGTATGAGGTGTACCCGGTATGGGAGTGATGACTACGCATCACGATATGATGTCAAAGAAAATCCTAAATATTGATAACTATAATAAATGGATGTCTTTGTCTTTTATAGTCGAGTTCAAAAGAAATTGGTTGCCCATGTTTTCCAAAACGTAGAGTTCTTGAAAAGGTAATTTGTTCATATTCATCGTTTAAAATGTCAGACTGTTTTATCACATATACTGCCAACTGGTTTGCAATGTTTATTCAGAACAATAAAACTACTTTATGTTTAATTGGCTGTTAGACTCTTTTGTTGGTTATTATAAAATCATGACCCTTATTTCTATATTTTCAGACTCCTATTTTAGATAAAACGACATCAAACATTGGTCCAAAACCAGAAGAAATGGAAACAGAGAGAATAAGTTTGATTTGCAGAGACGTACAGAGTTAAAAGTATACATATAATTAATAAGATACACGATACAACAAAAGTTAAATTATAAATGTTGGTATTTAAGTTATTGAAAATTGTAAATGCGTGCCTATTTTTCAGTTAACGTTTATTAATTTACTGTAGAATCTCCGTTTAAATTGTGATATTTGTAAAAGCATATGATTTTTTTTTAAATTATTTTTTATTTTGCTATTTTTTTTGCAATTTTTCATGAGATCGTTTTTACTGTTATTTGTTTTGATTATTGATCTCTTGATTTTTTATTTTGAGTTGATGGTACACATGTAGATGCTTATGATGATATTTTTTTTACACTATTTTATAAAAAAATGTTTCACCACTACTTGTATTTATTTTTTAAAGGTTTAATCAATGACTAGAATTGCGACTTTGATCTCACTTGAATCTCACCTGGAAAAGCAATACATCCGTAGCAACCCTTAATGCAAAAATGTTTACATTAAGAATTTTTATATTCAAAATAAAATTGTGAATTTAAAAGCACTTTATTTTCATAGAAATGATACATGTATGTAAACCCTTTTCAAATTAAGTGTTGAAAGGGAGTTTAATTTTTAGCTCACCTAAGCCGAAGGCTCAAGTGAGCTTTTCTGATCAAAATTTGTCCGATGTCTGTCGGCGTCGTCGGCGTCGTAAACTTTTCACATTTTCATCTTCTTCTCCAGAACTACTGGACCAATTTCAATCAAACTTGCCACAAAGTATTCTTGGGTAAAGGGGATTCAAGTTTGTTCAAATGAAGGGCCACGCCCTCCTCCAAGGGGAGATAATTACAAAATAGCAAAAATTAATGGCATTATTGAAAAATCTTCTTCTCAAGAACCAATGGGCCAGGAAAGATGAAACTCATGTGGAATTATTGTCAGGTAGTGTAGATTCAAATTTGTTCAAATCATGACCCCCGGGGGTAGGGTGGGGCCACAATTGTGCGATCAAAGTTTTACATAGGTGTACATAGGAAAAATCTTCAAAAATCTTCTTCTCAAGAACAGCAGAGCAGTGATTGGTAATATTTATGTGGAAGCATCCTCAGGTGGTGAGGGTTCAACTTTGTTCAGATCATGACCCCCAGGGGTAGGGTGGGGCCACAATGGACGATCAAAGTTTTACATAGGTGTATATAGGAAAAATCTTCAAAAATCTTCTACTCAAGAACAGCAAAGTAATGAATGGTAATATTTACGTGGAAGCATCCTCAGGTGGTGTGTGTTCAACTTTGTTCAGATCATTACCCCCGGGGGTAGGGTGGGGCCACAATGGACAATGAAAATTTAACATAGGACTATATAGGAAAAATCTTCAAAAATCATCTTCTCAAGAACAGCAAAGTCATGATTGGTCATATTTATGTGGAAGCATCCTCAGGTGGTGTAGATTCAACTTTGTTCAAATCATGACCCCCGGTGGTAGGGTGGGGCCACAATTTACGATCAAAGTTTCACATAGGAATATATAGGAAAATCTTCAAAAATCTTCTTCTCAAGAACAGCAAAGCTATGATTGGTCATATTTATGTGGAAGCATCCTCAGGTGATGTAGATTCAAGTTTGTTCAAATCATGACCCCCGGGGGTAGAGTGGGGCCAAAATGGACGATCAAAGTGTAACATAGGTGTTCATAGGAAAAATCTTCAGAAATCTTCTTCTCAAGAACAGCAAAGCTATGATTGGTCATATTTATGTGGAAGCATCCTCTGGTGGTGTAGATTCAAGTTTGTTCAAATCATAACCCCCGGGGGTAGTGTGGGGCCACAATGAACGATCAAAGTTTTACATAGGTGTACATAGGAAATATCTTAAAAAATCTTCTTCTCAAGAACAGCAAAGCTATGATTGGTTATATTTATGTGGAAGCATCCTCTGGTTGTGTAGATTCAAGTTTGTTCAAATCATGACCCCCGTGGGTAGGGTGGGGCCACATTGAACGATCAAAGTTTTACATAGGAATATATAGGAAAAATCTTTAAAAATCTTCTCAAGAACAGCAAAGCCACGGTTTGTCATATTTATACGGAAGCATCCTCAGATAGTGTAGATTCAAGTTTGTTCAAATCATGACCTCCAGGAGTAGGGTTGGGCCACAATGAATGTTCAAACTTGTGGAGAAAAAAGTCACAGTTAGTGAAAAAATTATGTAATCATCCTTAGTTAGTGTAGATTCAAGTTTGTTCAAATCATGAACCCCCCCCCCTCCCCCTCACTTTTAGGGGTAGGTAAGGACCACTTATGCATTTAAGCTTTTCAATACTAAACTGATTTTTCCTTTTTTCCTAGCCACAGTGCTCAGGTGAGCGATGTGGCCCCTGGGCCTCTTGTTAAAAAAAATTGTTTTTATGCTGAGTTACGCCAGATAAAATTTATATCAAGCAAAGCTTTAAAAAGAACTGAAAAAAATGAGTGGAATGTATCTTATCTCATGCAATTGGAAAAAAATGATTTTTTTTTTCATTCTACTCTTATGATTTTATTTTCATTTAGCACTGATCATTTTAATTTTTTGATCAATCAATTAATAAATCATAAGTTAAAAACAAACAATAGTCGCATACTGTTTTGTTGTTGTTGTTGAGAGAGACAAGCTTTTGTTCAGGTCTTCTCGCTGAATGAAACTTTCCAGTAAGCTAATTTTAATGAGAAACTCAGTTTTGATCTCTTTCTGACATGCTTATTTTCTTACATTAATTATCATCAAACTAAAGGTGCACATGCTTTTTTACGAAGAGAAAAAGAGATAATCCACTATGTTAACGAATTTTATATCAATGTGCTAAAAATTGGTAATTCTGAATATATAGGACAGATGATACAAACATTTTTTTTTTATCAAAAATCCTAAAAATAACAACCCAAGTCATATTTAAATGAGTAAAATGAATACGTTTAACCGAAAAGATTTTAATTTTTCATTCAAATTGTCAAAATAAAGGAATTTGAAGTGACAAAAATTTGTATAGATTAATAAAGATGGTAGCAGAAAGGTTAAATTTTGAGCACCTGAGAAGTTTAGAATTTCTTACTACTTTAGAAAATTATTATACACATCATTTACAACCAAAATAAGTCAAAAATGGTTATCAATCCAGGAATCCATATTTTTTATTTGCATCATCTGGCCTTAAATCTAAATCTATTTGCAACATATTGATTGTTCTCTTATAAAAGAACTTGAAGGCCTTTTCTTTAAAAGTCAAAGACAATAAAATATATTTAAGTTGATAACATTTTATTTATTCTTTTTTGCTTTCACTATGAGAGCAATCTATGTTTTCCGTACAGCTGGTAGGTCTGAAACAGAAAAAAGGTCATGAAGGATTAATGAAATATGAAGATAACGAACAGAAATCAAGCTCAAAAGTTCACGGAAAACAATACAAATTGTGAACAGAGCAAACACGACCTCTAAAACCATTAGTGATTGGATCAGATGCCATGAACTGTTAATATAAAAATTGCTGTATAATAAAATTTTCAAAAGTTTCTTGTTTTTAAACTGTACTTTTAAAATTCTTGTTGTTAAAATTGATTGTATGACTGTTTTTATTTGATTTTGACCAGAATAAATTATATTCCATATTGTTTGATCGGGCATTTGCTATGCTTTACAAATTACGTCTGTATTTTGAATATTTTTTGCATGTGGGGAAAAGTAGTCATTACCTCAACATCCTGGCTTTTTACAAGTTACTGGACAAATATCGTTACCACCTAGATTAGAAGGGTCACAGAAAAAATCCTTATATTGCTGGCATTGACTTGGATTTCTTTCAACGCATAGAGGGGCTAAATGAAAAATCATCACATGCTTATGAAATAAAATGAATAATAGAAATCAGAGAAAAATAATGAAGTATTCCCAAACATTTATTTATGTTACTAAGGGAAATATGATCAGTAATAATAATTCAAATGTTATTCTAGGTTAAGTATCTTATAAGCTTTATTTAAACCTAATTCAAATTCAATGCGATTGTCATTTAAGACATTTTATCTTGTACATTTAATATACAAACAGTAGCTAAACGATGATTTTTATTGATCTTTTTTATTTTTTGCACAGTATATGACAGTTGTCCAAGATGTTCGTGGAATTTATTCGTGGCTATTCAAAATTAGAGAAGCAAATAACATTTTTCGATATTCCTTATACTGGAGTTGAAATCGTGATTTGAAATTACATGTATATTATTCATTGAGGATCTTTTAATTCTTTCAGCATCCCTTAAGCTATTCCTCCGATCGGAAAAGCAAATATGCTACTTATTCGTCAGGGATTTACAGGCTTCCAGAAAATTTTCTGAACATTAACGTATGTATTGTTTGAAGGCGGCCATTTTCAATCGTCAACTCCACACTATGTCCACACACTGTTCAATACAAACGCCCGACCTTTTTGATGTTTGATTTGTTGTTTAATCTTTGTTTAAGATTAAATAAAACTGGTCGTTTTGTTGTTACAGAAAGTAAGACATTGTCAGCCATATAAATTGGATTTGCCCTGCAAAATAATAACATAAAAAAGAGCCATAGCTGCCTTGCCGAAGACAACTGCTGACTGAAGAATGAAAAGGAAATCACCTGTTCCTATTTATTCCTATTTATAGATATGCCTTTTCAATTCAAGATCAATCTGTTATATCATTTGTGCACCAGTGTTATATTTTCATAGTTGCAGTATTTCATATAACATTCATTTAACATGATCATTACTCTAATTTCGAGACAAAAAATTAAGAAAATCAGTAAAAATACAACAAGTAAAACAATGACATATAGCTATGAATTTGCAAAATTTAATGAAACAGTTTAGAACTGTATTTTTCCAAGAATAATTCAAAGTTTACTGAGTGTATATTATAACTTTTTGGAATTCTGTTTATCAGAATTCATAATAATGAAAATCTAGAAAGAGTACACAAAGAAAAAATTACAAAAGGAATATATAGAAAATGTTGGGCTCGACCTCGGAATCACCACATT